ACGGAAGAACAGATTTGAGTGAAAATTGGTAGGGAGGTAGCTTAGAGCCAGGAGAAGGACATAGGATACTTTTTGTCCCGTTCGACAGCGTTCCTCCCTGGCCCATACTTTTTTATTTAGGCAGACAGCTAAGAAGAAAATGTCAAATGTCAAAATGTCAGTTACAAACGAAGTCAAATTCATAGTCAGGCTCTCAAATTTAACAACGAACCAAAAAGATTGTGTTGCGCTTCCGGGAAAGTGAAATTGCCTCAACTTGAAGCACCACTAGAGCCTCTGCACTCTCTATTGATATTTGTAAGAAATCAATATTAAAACTATTTCTATTAAATAAATAATTAACAAGTGGATTGAAGTGAAGTGAAGTTTAATTAATAATGCCGCGACCAAGACGATCGAATCTTTCCCGACAAAGCCGTAATGCAAGAAGAATACAAAATACTGCATATGAAAGGACTGAAGAAGAACGAGAAATTGCACGTGAACAGAGCCGCAATAGTAAGGCTCGACTTCGTGCTTCTCAAATAGATTTTAATTTGCGACGAAAAATTTTAGCTGATTTGAATCGAGCTGCGTTTCGATACGATTGCAGCAATGATTACAGCTTGCATCCTAGCGTTTGCATTGGGCAAATGGACGTTGTTTGCGAGTATTGTGGTGCATTAAAGTTTTCCGGAGAAACGCCTGGATTATGCTGCGTTAATGATAAAGTGAAGTTGCCAGTAATTCCAAGATCTGCGGCTGCCGACGAAATAAACGCTTGCCTCAAATCGTCAAATCTATGGCGCTATGTGAAGAAACTGCAGCTGATAACAAACATGAGAGTTACATTGCTTAATGATACATCTGCTGAAGATTTCTCGGAGCAATTTCTGACTATCGGTAATGGTCAAGTACCTGTCGATGAATCGAGCGGATTAATATCATTTCCAAATAATTTTTGTAATTTTGTCTCATCAAAAGACGAACTTATCAACAATGTATTTCCAAATATTATTTCTAACTACAAAAATAATGAATGGTTGAGTGAGCGAGCAATTTTAGCGGCTAAGAATAAAGATGTAGATGACCTGAACTACATAATTCAAAATAAGATCATTGGAACAATGCATTCATTCAAATCTATTGACTGCGTCACAAATGAAGATGAAGCCACCAACTATCCAATTGAATTTTTAAACTCTTTGGACGTGCCTGGCTTACCACCGCACAATTTACGCCTAAAGGTTGGCTCCGTAGTAATCATGCTTCGAAACATAAACCAACCAAAACTGCAACGGTACGCGTTTGGTGGTTAGTAAATTGATGAACAATGTAATTTACGCTACGATAATGATAGGAAAATTCAAAGGTGAGGAAGTTCTAATTCCGAGGATCCCGATGATCCCAACCGATATGCCGTTTGAATTTAAAAGACTTCAATTTCCGATACGTCTTGCATTTGCCATGACAATCAACAAATCACAAGCCCAATCCTTAAAAGTTTGTGGTTTAAATCTAGAACATTCATGTTTTTCCCATGGTCAATTATACGTGGCATGTTCACGGGTCGGAAAACCATCTGCGTTGTTTGTTTTTGCGCCTGATAATAAAAAAAAATGTCGTGTATCACAAGGTGCTTGAGTGAAGAGCAACCTATATACTAAAATACAGAAATAATAATGAATGATTAAGGAGGAGAAACAAAGAATATTGTATACCCACAAGTATTACAGAATTTAATTAATTTGAAAATTATTCTTTTTTGTTTGACTTATTTTTTATGCGTGCAACAACAATATGCCACAGCGAAACGTGGCAGGGTACTGCTAGTATTTCAATAAATACCTATTTACTATAAATGTGCGGGGAGTTTTTATAATCGAAGGCGTTGCAAATAATTAAAGTATAATTTATGTTGGCTAATAAATATTTTATTAAGGGGTTACGCCACCCTGAACGCGTGGAAACGGGACGGTTTTTCAGGAATTTCTTGTGACTAAACTAGTTGAGATAGGATTTTTCCACTTTTATTTCTATTCAATACAACTAATGAGCTTTATAAATTCTAAAAAAAAACTTGTTTTCTATGCGAAATGGCGGAGATATGAACATCGGCGATCATGGGTTTTTCCGGAGTGCTCCTTGATGGTGGGCATGATTCACGTGTCAATTTTCATCTCAATTAAGTAAACAACATTTTTTTTTAAAAAGTAATAAATTTGGAACAGAGTGACGTAGCCGTTTAAGAAAAAAAAAAAAAATTACGCAAATGAGAGCACTTCAAAAATTGACAATTTTTTGGGCAAAAAATGTCGTACTAAAAATTGCATAAAAAAATTTCTATCCATTGGATCGAAAAAATCCTACGTCACTCTGTGGAAAATCTATGTAAGAAGATGTGTTTCAATTTTCAAGTCAATCGGTTGAACAGTTTTTGAGTTATCATGCCCACCGTCTTGAAAAAAGTGGTTTCGAGAAAAACGCAAAAGAAGAAAAAGAAGTGTCTTAGGTGCCCTCCTGCCGTGCCGACTTCAAATAAACATAACTTCCATAATTATCAAGATGTCTTCGGGGACGTCTTAAAATACGCGTAAGAATATAGTCTTTTAAATTAAGTAAAAAAAAAATTGAAATTTTTTGAAAATTTCAGGGTGGCGTAACCCCTTAAAAGAAAGAATAATCTCTCAGCGCAATGGGGTGTACAATACAATATTCTTGGTTAGTCCGTTTTGAGCCAGAAAAACTAAACTGAATAGTTTTCCCACGCAAGAACATGCGATATATAGATGTCTGTGGGAAAAGCAAGGAGTTTCCAAATTTAAGCCGCATACATATAATGTCTGGCCTTGTGATTTATTGATCGTCATAGTAAATGCCAATCTAATTGGAAATTAAGTGCGTTTCGAAACTAAAATTCAATTCTAAATACAGCCTAATCACATATTTGCAAATATCTTTGGTGCTCTTAACCGAACTTCACGAATCAACATTTATATAAGCGTTGAATGTTTTGCTCACAGATTTGTAAAAATTGTTGAGGTTTTTTTATTGTTTTGTTTATATTGCTATCTATTTCTGTTGCTCCAAACAATCAACACATTGGAAGCCTGAATCTTGATCTGGTCCGCGAATTCCCTTTCCAAGTTACCAATAATCACTTTTTCAGCTGTTTTAATTTAACAGACTGTTAAATATATATTTTAGGGTTGAAGCATCATAGTTTAATGTTTATTTTTGGTCATTGAAGTTTGATGACAGTAAATAAAAAGTCCGAATTTAATTTTCAAACTTTATAAAATGTTTATCTGCATGCAGATGAAGCTGGATGATCAACAAGATAGACCAGCTGTTAAGAGGAGCTCTAAATAAATAGGTCTTACTCCAATGAGTTCCTTTTGGAAATTGATTTTATTTTGTAAAGTTCTCTTATAAGTAGGATACATGAAAATCTTAAATCTATTTAAAACTACTTATCAACGCACACTGACATGCTATGCGACTAGACATTGCGAAGCTAAAACTTTGTAAACAGAGGCCTATTGAAGTCGAGCAGCCGAGAGAGAGTCGGCTTGCGACCAACTGTGCGACTTTTACATACTTAAGCCTAATAAAGCCTAATAAATAAACAAATTAAGAAACTCTCTACTACCCGCTCACTACTCTTCAGGAATTACCTAGAATGAACATCGTTGAAGAGTTTTGGTTTCGGAAGTTTTATGTATCGCTGACCTGGAGAATTTTTTCCTCATTGGGCTAGATAATTACTACATGGATGCATGAATTCATGGATATATTTGGATGGGATATATTTTTCGTAGAACTCTTTCGTAGAAGGACTTTTTGAGGAATGTTTGTAAAAAACTGCCAAAGAAGTTCTATGGAATTCTTTGGAAAAAAACCCGCAGAAGGTCGCTAAAAAATAAATGGTAAAATCGTAATCACCCTCCCAATAAATAACATATGATATATAAGTTATTTATTTGTATACCCTTGCCTTTAAAGGTTATTATAATAATAATTTTGGTCAAAAATGTGCAACGCAGTTAAGGAGACATCACCGACCCTATATATATATATATATATTTTTTTTATCAAGATCATTTCCTGAATTGATATACCCATATCCGTCTGTCTGTCTGTTGCTACGCGAACTAGTCTCTCAGTTTTTAACCTATCGATTTGAAACTTTGCACACATCCTTCTTCGGAACGACCGGGATAGGCCGACTACAACTCATATCTTCAAAACAACGAAAGTTGAGTCATTTCCGACTGTTATATGGCAGCTATAGGATATAGTCAAAAATTGTATTTTTAGTCCAGAGGTCGGCACCCCAATACATTGATATGATTTTACCGCATTAGTGTTAGTAACGTATAGCAGAAAGTAGGCTTTGAGCATGACGTTTCACACATTTATATTGTGTGTGTGTGGCAGAGCTCGGGCAGAGAAATTTCCTATGCCCCCGAGATAGGGCCGTGCCGACCTCTGTTTTAGTCATTTGATCCGACCTACCAAATTTCATAACGATCGGCCGACTATATCTTATAACTGCCATATAACTGAACGATCAGAAATGGTATTTGGTAAAAATACCCACTTTGGTATTTTTATAGATAGAAGTTTGGGTCTTTTTTTTAGATATTTTGTTGTAGTTGATTGGTTATATTATAATATTCTTATAAGGATAGAAAAACTATATCCGGTGTTTCCGGTTTAAATTCAAGGGATTTTTTGAGCTTTCAAATTCCTAAATGCGTAATTTTAGACCAATTTTACAATTTCCGACGTTTTTTAATAGTTTAACGTTGTAGTTTTTGAAAAAAATACATCTTCAATTTATTTAAACAAAAAGAATAGAATTTTTATACAGAAACTGGCATTTTTGCATTTTTGTCGTGTTTTTCGAACTTTGATGCCATTTTTTAGGTACAACTTACAAATATTCCAAACACGTGCTATATTCGACCCGAAAATGCTCTCAACGAAAATGGAATGATTTTTTTTATTACTTACAGATGGAAGTCGTAAACATGAAATCAATTAATTAAGGGATTTGAAAAGGATGATTAAACACGGAGCCGTATTGTACGCTATTTATTATTGAGAATACCGAAAGTAAAAAAAATCTTTAATCTTGAACAATCTAAAAATATTTGGCAAGCGTTTGTTAACAAAGGATGTCTAATAATATGGCAGACCTTATGCAGCTGAATAGTATTGAAGTTATTCAGAAAGACACACCAGACTCTCCAACGGAATGCTCTGACGATGGAAACTTAACAACTTTAGGACGAATTGGCGGATTGGGAGTGGGAGCTACTGGTGTCATGGACTTAACTGATTTGGGTCAGGAATTGGATCAAGATGAGTTTGATGGACCTCATATGCTAAATGGTATGTATGCAATTTAAAATAAGAAAGAAATCCTAACTTGGACCACAGACAGACAGAGATGTAGATCATATTTTATTTCTCCACCTATCGCCCATATATCTCAAAATGGTCCATTTCCATCAGTCCACATCTCCCCACCGTTAAAACACAAAACAGACCATGTTGTAATTAGAGTGGTCGATAGTGAAGTTAGTACTACTTTTCTCTGATGTGGAAATAAAACTCTAATTCAAATCACAAAATGCATCCGAGCTGTAATTAATCGCAAAATCCCGCAAATCATAGAAAACGACACAAAGCCAAGGTTTCCTGGTAAAAAAGAACACCTTCCAGGAGCTTAAGAACGAAGAGCAAGCTTTGGTCTACATTTACAAGTCCAATTTTACCATTTCAAACCTTTTTAGGAGTGCCTCCCACTACAATAATCTTTCTCAAAATGGAGGCTGGAAGTCACCTTTGAGAGTAATATAAGTAATAACATAAGTATAAGTAAAGTATTAAAGTCCCTTAAGAGGTTATATACCTTCTTTGTCGAAGAAAAAGAGGAAAGTTCGGATTTTGTTTTAGGTATTTAGCAATTAATTAATTACACGGATGTTTTAATTTTTTGATAGTACACTTTATTAACAATGTTTGTGCAAAATTTGGTGGAAAAATATTAAATAGTTTTTAATGGGTGGCTGTTTCCCTCAGAGGTCTTTTTTTTTTTTTAGAGCCTTGCGGTGACAGTTCCCCAGGTCGAACAGGTCAAATGAAACCATAAAAGTAAAAAAATTGCATTAGTTTAGTGTAATTCCTTGTGCTTGAACGCTCGATTTTAAAATTTTTAAAAGTTTTATGCTAAAAATGAACTTTTTGGCCTCTAGAAATTTCACTAAAAAATTCATTTCGGCGAAAAAAAAGTTTGTGCGTGAAAAGTCGATCGTTCAAGCACAGAAGAATTTCATTACGAACATTTAAAAAAAAATTTGAAGTAAATCGGTTCAGTAGTTTTCCGCCAATCCATGTCACCGCAAAGTCATTTTTTAAGAAACACCATTTCGAGATATTCGCGTTTAAAGTTTCAAGTTCAGTGCAAGGCCGCGACAAGGCGCGCGGTTAGGAGCGCTGTAACTTTTTTTCTACTGCTCGAATCCCTATGAAAATTTGGGAAAATGTTCTCAAGGAGTTGATCTTCAAGATAAAGCAATAAAAAATTTTAGATTTTTTGAAAATAAAAAAGGTATATAACCCCTTAAGGAGGGACATCTGAGTAACAAGCCAAAAAAAAACAGATTTTCCGGAATTTTTTTTGGCCAAATCAAAACAGCTAATCGAAAATTTGTAAATGAGGTTTTATTATATTATATTTAAAGTACACAATAAAATTTTTTTTTAATAAATCGAAAACAAAATGGCGGCCCTGCAGCCCTTATTCGTAGGCCCTATTTTTTTTAAAGGGGGTTCATGGCCGGTAAGCTAATGTCATTAATTTTTGATGTAGAACGAAAAATCAAATTTGATTAGTTTCTATACATTAACAGCTATCGACACATGTAGGATTTTTGCGATATATTAATTTTTTTCAAAATGGTGAGTGATTGAAAAAAAATTAACATTTTCACAAAAAAAAACGTCACAAAATTGTTGAATGAAAAAAAAAGTAAGCACTATAAAAAAAAATCCTATGTGTGTCTATAGACAAGGGTATAATATACTGTCAAAATCTCAGATCGATAGGTTAAGAGTTGTTCGAGTTATGTTTCCAGCCGTCTAAAAAAAACGATTTCGAAAAAAACGCGTTTAAAATTTTAAGTACTGTGGGATGACCTTTTAAGGTCATTTAAGGACCTATGAGGCATCGCCGCAGAATGGAAAATTTCGACATTAGACACTTTTGCCGGACTCTATCTTTTGATATGTTATTTTTAAGACCCTAAAGAATTTTTTAAGCTAAAAAATAAATTTTCGATTTTTTCAAGACTACTCAGATGACCTACTTTAAGCTGACCAACCACTAAATAGTTTCCACATCTCACTCTTCTCTTGCCTTGGGAACACAATAGAAACAAGAAAAGACGGCTATGTCGAGTTTCCTGACTATATTATACCACTAACCATACAGCATATAGACAACCCATCATATAACGAAAATGGACGCAATAATTTTTTGCGACAGACTCCAGCAGGCCCCAGAGCGAGTTCTTACTCTCTTTCTAACGCTTAGCGTTACTTCATCTTACGCTCATACTCTCATTGAATGCTTTCTGTTTCTCAGTCTGTGAAAGGAGCGCGATGAAGAAGGTTGGGCTGCGTTTGGATTGATCTTTGTATGTATGCGTGTCACACATTCACATACACGGGTGTATGTGTGCGTGCGATTTCGTTTCGAAGCCAGCGCACAAAATTTTGATCTTTCTAACTTTTCAGGCTGTCTAACCCATGATATTGTAGAATTGTATCATGGTCTAGCCTAACAAAGTTCGGGTATTCGTTATTGGGAAATGACGAAAGAAATTATATAAAATTTTTAATATTTCAGCATAAATTTTAAATTTATTTAGGAATAAGATTAGGTGTTAGCAGTAAAATGATAGCATGCCACAGTATGCATCTAAAAAAAGTGGTAGGCAGGTGATTTCGACTGCTAGAAAATTTCAAAAAATTGAAAAAAAAAACTGCAACAAATTCCCACAAAGTCCCGCACTAGAATGAAATATTTTTATCAATAAACAACAAAATGGCAAACTCACAAAAAAAATTTTTTTAAATAATTAACAAAATTTGTTTTAAATTAATGATAAATAAAAAACTAATTATTAAAAATAAATTATTTTAGTACGGGACAGAAGTGTTACTTTTTAGAACAACATATCCAGAACACTTCAGCTAGATCGGTACCATAGAATTTTGTGAATCACCTGCGCCGCACACAAAAATGTCGTTCCGAGAAAAACGCGTTTAAAGGTTTAACGCCACCGAGTAACTCATACTATTCGGTGTTGGCGCGCTATCGATTATGGGCTGTATGTGATTATTTCATATTTTTATTTGAAACTTCAACAGTACATTCTCAATAAACAGTACTTTCGAAATATGTGAAAAAAATCGATTTTTTCAACCTCACACATGAGACTACACCCTTAAATAAATTCATATAAATAGAAAAGGCAAGATTTGTGCCTTCCCCTAAGGAAGGTGTGCAAGGACAATTCACATGCAGAACAACCTAAACTAAAAGCAATCAACGTTTTAAGTGACTCCGACTGAAATTTACCCTGTTCCTATCTCAGTATATTGATTTTTAATGATTTACTTAAAATATATATATACAAAACATTGTTTACACTTAATTAATCAGTTATATGGCAGCTATAGGATATAGTCGGCCAATCCCGGTCGTTCCGACTTATTTACTGCGTGCAAAGGAAAGAAGGGTGTGTGCAAAGTTTCAAGACGATAGCTTTAAAACTGAGAGACTAGTTTGCGTAGAAACAGACAGACGGACAGACGGACATGCTCAATTGAGGAGGTGATCCTGATCTAGAATATATATACTTTATAGGGTCTCCGACCCTATAAAGACTTCACTGCGTTGCACACTTTTGACCAAAATTATAATACCCTCTGCAAAAGTATAAAAAGGTCTGTTGAATTTATTCACTTTGTTGGAAAAAGGGAAATGATTATTGAGAAGTGGTCGCTACCGTGAAGATCATTGTGTAATTTCCCCTTCTATGGGAAAAGGGTATGTGTGTGTATTGAAAAATGTGTTGGTGATTTGTCGTAGGATGTGGGATGTGTCGGGATGGGATTGGGATGTGTCAATGAATTTTTTGGGGGAATAAAGTTGAATTGCGGTGCCCTTCATAACTCGGTGCTGGATCATTTGTAATCCAAAAATGAAAGTTTATTCGTTAGATAATAGTTCGCCCCAGGTAACGCTGTAAAGGTTTTTTGAAAATTGCAATTTTTTAATTTTTTCGAAGACTTTTAAGTGAAAAACTCAATTTTTTGGGAAAAAAATCGGTTAATTTGTCATTGCGAAATCAAAATTATGAACAAAAAAACTTGACAGCGTTACCTCGTAAAATATGTACAGAAATGGTGTTTAAAATTTCAAAAAGATCGGTGCAGTAGTTTTGACGTTATGAGGGGTACCGACTTTGAAAACGTGAGTTGTGGGAAAAACGCTTTGAAGTTTTAAACACAAAAAAATCCAGTGTAAAACGTTTATAAGCAACTTCGTCAATAACTAATAACTTCGTCAATTTTGCTTTAATTGACTTAAAATTTTGACACAATGTTCTTCAGATATTCAGATATTATGCATTCAATTTAAAAAATAAAAAAAAATTTAAAACAAAAAAATTTAATACCTTACCCCTTCCTTAATGGATTTTATATGGATTCACTGTCGCTGTTATTGATGTTTTTGTTTTTGGTTGAAGGTTTAGTTATTGATTTGGACGGTTTAAAGTTAGTGGAGAGAGAGCTTGACTTATTTTTGGAGAAGATTCTTAATGTTAGGTCCTTTGTACTTTGTGATGAGTATGGTGTGGTGTCTGCGATGTCGGCATCCATGACTTCGATGTCGTCTTGCTCTTTCTGGTGTGTGTGATTTTGGAGGTGTTCCTTTCGATGATTGTGGTGCTTCAGTTGTGGTTTTGTTGGATGTTGATTTGGTATTTATTGTGTGATGTTTGTAGGTTGTAAAAATATGTTATGTACTACAATATTACATATTAATATTGTTATGTACTACAATACAAAATACTACAATATTTTGTTTGTAGGGATTTTTTTTGGTTCTGTGTTGTAGTGCTGGTCAGTATTATTGCATATGTGGCTCTAGTTTGGTATCCATGTCGCTTAAAGTATATCCTTAAACAAATTTTATGGTCGACCTTCTCGGTAGTCTTTATGGCTGTGAGTTCTTCTTGTCTTAGAAATGTTTGACATTTACGGTCGAGTGGGCGTGTTGTGAATCGTGCGTTGGGAATCGATTTCAGTATTATTTTCGCAGTTGAGGCATTTTTTTCTTTTTGGCATTTCTTTTCCGAGAAGTTTGAAGATTTGTCTGTGTTTTTACATATGGGAGCTGCGTGTCCGAAGCGAAGGCACTTTCTGCAAACGTAGCGGGAGTGGTATGTAGTCACGAACGCGAACAGTTTCATATCCGATTCGGAGTAATTCGAGAAGTTTGTGGGATTCAAATGTTAGTTTGAATAAGCCGGTTTTTATTTGGGGTTGGTATTGTTGTTTGTAATTTGTTTTTTATTTTTATTTATTATTTATTAACAATGATCTGTTATTCTAGAATCTAGATTATTATAACTAAAAGTTAAGATAAATTAAGTTAAAAGATATTCTATAATTTTGGATTTAATTACATCTAGGGATAGTTCAGGGGATAATAAATGGGACAATGAGTTATAGTTTTTACAAATAACGTGAAATGGATCGGCGAAATTAGACCTAGACATTAGTAAATAAAGGGGTCGGAAGGATCTAGTTACTCTAATAGAAACAGAGAACATTAATTTTTCAAGAAGTACTTGTGAGTCCACTTTTCCAAGAATAAGCACAAGAAGTAGCATAACCCCAGCACAAGTACGGCGCTCTTTTAAAAGAGGTAGGTTTAATAGTTTTAGCCGGCAATGATACGACGGAAGGCAAATGGCAGTATCCCAGTTTTAGCTTTTTAATGCAAATAACAGAAACTGCATTTGGACAGATTCAATCCTCCGTTGATGAACAAAGTATTGCGGAATCCAAACGCTTAAACAGTATTCCAAGATAGGACGAACTAACGATACATATAGAGTTTTAGTTGTGAAAGGATCATCAAATTCTTTAGAGCATCGTTTGATAAAAGCTAGCACACCTCTGGCTGAGTGAGTACGACACGATGTGCGGCACACTGCGATTGAACGTCATAACCTTACACTTAGAGCAGTTAAGTAAAAGGAGATTGTTTAAGCACCACAAGAAGACTTCGTTAAGGTCTAATTGTAGGTGTTTATGAAGGAAATTGTCTGAGAAAGAAAGACATAACTGGACATCATCAGCATACATAAATGTAGTAGCATAGTTTACAACACTAGGTAAATCTTTAACAAAAAGAACAAACAGAAAAGGTCCTAAGTGACTACCTTGTGGGACACCAGATAAAACGTTTATAATCTTTGATGTTAAGTTTTTAAACAAAACACGCTGCGTGCGGTTTGATAGATAGGGGGTCAATGGGGGTCATTGTACTATTTGTGGGGAAAACCCCATAAGACACAGCTTATGAAGGAGGAGATGGTGGTTCACAGAATCAAACGCTTTGCTAAAGTCAGTCAGCACATCAGTTTGCATGCGGCTCAGAAAACCTCTGGGGATAAACGAAGTGAGTTCAAGAAGGTTAGTTGTGGTAGAGCGATGCTTGACAAAACCATGCTGTGAAGTGGATATAATGCTTTTACAAAATTTTGCAGTTGGAGAGTAGAGGGTATTATAATTTTGTCCAAAAGTGTGAAACGCAGTGAAGGAGACATCTCCGACCCTATAAAGTATATATATTCTTGATCAGGATCACCTCCTGAGTTGATATGAGCATGTCCGGCTGTCCATCTGTCTGTCCGTCTGTCTGTTTTTACGCAAACTAGTCTCTCAGTTTTAAAGCTATCGACTTAAAACTTTGCACACACCCTTCTTTCTTTTGCACGCAGTATATAAGTCGGAACGACCGGGATCGGCCGACTATATCCTATAGCTGCCATATAACTGATTGATAGGAAATGGTATAACTTTTGTGTTTTTAGAGTTAGAGAGTTCAAATTTTACAGGAGAACTATTTTTGGCATATTAATACGACATGCAAAATTGCATAAGGATCGGCCGACTATATCCCATAGCTGCCATATAACTGAACGATCGGAAATGACCCAACTTTCGTGTTTTGAAGATAGAAATCTGCAACTTAGTACAGATCCTATTTTTGGTTAGTTAACCCGACCTACTAAATTTCATAACGAGCGGTCGACTATATCTTATAGCTGCCATATAACTGAATGATCGGAAATGGTTTTTGGTAGAAATACCAACTTTGGTACTTTTGAAGATAGAAGTTTGGGAATTTTTTTTAGATTTTATACAGGGTGACAATAAATAACCCGGACAAACATTTTTGATCATAACTTTTTAAGGAACTGTATTTGAGAAAAAATGCAGATACACAACTATTAAATAGGTATTGTGTTAACTTATATTCAGCTGGTTTCGTAGTGGCTTCCTTGGGCTGCGATGCAGAGCCTTAAACGTTTCTGGAAATTTAGCGCAATGGGCCGCAGGAGGTTCTTCCGATAATCGATCCCATTCTCGGAGCAATGATTGCTTCAGCGCCTCCAAACTTATGTGGCATTAAGCACATGCCCTGGACTCCAAAATAGACCACACACTATAGTCCATCGGATTAAGATCTGGCGAGTAAGGTGACCGTTCACTGCATGTGATAAAGTCCGGGAAATTGGCTTTGCACCAGTCCTGAGTCAATTTGGCTCTATGGGCTGACGCTGAATCCTGTTGAAACGTCCACTCCGTATCACCGAAGTGCTGCTGGCCCCAAGGAAGCACAACAGTTTCCAAAACGTCCCGGCGGTACACTTCCTGATTGATTTTGACCCCTTGATCGATGAAAACAAGGGGTGTTTTGCCAGTGGCGCATTTTCCTCCCCAAACCATTAAAGACTGCTCAAATTGACGGCGCTCGATTATTGCAGAGGTACCTGGAGCTTTAGCAGACCAGCTTATGTCATTTTGGTGATTGTGCGCCTTTTGGATGGTGAATATCTTCTCGTCCGTGAAAAGAATACGCTCCCATTTTTGACCTGCGGCCCGACGCTTTAGCTGACGGCATCTTTGGAGTCTCACGCGCTTATTGTCATTCGTAAGAAGATGCATTTTTTGGAGCTTGTAGGGCTGGAGATTAAGTTCATTTTTTGCTATCTACCGAATACTTTCTCGATTCACTCCGATTTTACGGGCTATTTTTCTGACCGAGACTCTGCAATTCCGAGTGATCCGCGTCTTCACTATCTGGCGAATTCTGGAAGTGTTAGCGGTACATGGTCTGCCTCGTCCGGGACGGTCACCTTCATGGCCAAGCTCATTAAATCGCCGGATAGCGTCAGAGACCGTTTGTTTTGGTATTCCAAGCAAACGAACAATGTCGCATTGGCGATTTCCTTGTTGAAACAGTTTTAAAATTTCACAACGATTGTTAAACATCCCGAAAGAAATATCAAATGGATGGGAATCACAAAAATGTAAATATATTTGTTTCAGAAAAGTACAAGCTATCGATAAATGCTTTTTATTTAAGGGCTGCATCATAATACATTTATAATAGATTGCTTTAAAGTTTGTCCGGGTTATTTATTGTCACCCTGTATTATAATAAATTGGGTTATATTATCATATTCTCATAAGGATCGGCCAACTATATCCGACGTTTGTGATATATATTCGGTTTTAACTGCAAGGGTATATCAAGTTCGGCTCCGCCCGAAGTTAGCTTGCCTTTCTTGTTTTATGAAAAATATTATTTCATTTGTACCTTGACATATTCATGATTTTTTCACTTCAGTTACTTTTTGTGGATACTTGAAGTTACTTGAAGGATAGTCTCTTCATTAATGTATCTGAGGTTGTTACTGTAGATAACTCCTTTCGAGAAGTTAAGTGTTTTGTGTTCCGTAGCTAATATTTCCATGTCTGCGATTTTGTGCAGTTAGAGCAGTCTTGTGGCTTAAAGGTAAGGTTTTTAAAAAAAACCATAAAAACAACTTATAAAATCACTGTATTTTGAACGTGTGGATAATGTTTATAATATATTTTTTTTGGATCTTTTTTTGGAAACAAAAAAGTTGCATTTTTCAACATTCAATTTTCCAGTCTTGGTTGACCTGTTTCTGGCAATGCCCGAATATATATGTACATATATACTTTATAGGGTAGGAGATGTTAGTATCACTTCATATTAAATTTTTTTTATAAAAAATATTATTTCATTTGTAGTACATTTATTTATACTACATTCATTCATTTCATTTCATTTTGTACCTTGATATATTTGACAGCACAGTTATACGAGTATAAGCTTTGGCATTTTAAATAACTCTTGTACAATTTAATGATTTATTTTTCTAATTTTTTTTTCTCCTTGAATTATTTTTATAAGGTGAAAGACCGGCAATCATTGCACCGCCTGAAAGTGAATGGTACCACGGACGCCTGGATCGGTACTCAGCAGAATTGCGATTGCGAGGAAGCAGTAAATTAGGAAGTTATTTGGGTTAGTACACTTTATATCTAAAATTTAAATCTTTTCTTTTTATCATCTATAGAAAATATTCTATAACAACTATTGACGGCTCGGCCACACAACTACTTTTTAAGAGTAACTTAGTGCCGTTATACAACATATGCATGAATTATTTTAGAGACCCGGGGACTGGGTTGGAAATTTTAGAACAATTAATTTCAAAAAATCGATTTATTTTTTTTTGCTTTTTTTATTTAATGGTTTAACATTTTAAGAATATGTCCTTCAAATTGTATGTCAATAGAAGCAATATTCGTAAGGTCATTGTTTTATTGATCTCCTGGCAACACTCCAACTCTAACAGTACTTTTCTCAAAACTAGTTTTTCAAAGTCTGTGCTCACTGTCATTTCAAAACTACATGACCGACTCATTTTAAACTTTATACCAGGGATCGTAAATAATGATTATTGTTATGATCTGTATTTTAAGAATCACAAAATAATGATTATTCTCTGAGCGAAAAAATACAAAACAAAACATAAAAATATTATAATAAAAATAAAATAAATAAAAATCAAAATAAATTAGAATAAATTTCTTAAATAAATAAATAAATAAAACAAGATTTTGAGGGTGTTAGAAATATTTCAAACACGGTTTTGTACTATACTCGACCTAATAAACAATTTCTACTAGGTCTCTTCATAAGTTACAAATCACTGTCGCACTATGTAATCATTAGTTTTTATTTTTATTTTTTTTCGCTCAAAAATATAACTTAGAATATAATTTCGCGCTGTGTATTAGATTTTCTTTATATTTGACTGCATATCTCCCTAAACCACATATGGGCAAATCCCACGTGTCGCACGCTGCATTCGCACGATTTTAGCAAATGAAAATCAATTTTTTGGGGGGTTTTTTAAAGATTTACCATAAACTTTTGTTATGTGTTTAGAGTAAATTGAGAGTACTTTCGGAGGGTATACGGTTCAATTTCACAGTTTCAAGTCACAGTTTTGAAAATAATTAATAAAATTGTGACGTGTCCCACGCTACACAAAGTGGAAGTTCCTTTCACAATTTGTATTTCAAATGCAATTTTTAGCGAATTATGCAAAATAAACCCTATGAAAGTTAATATCCTAAAGAAAGTTAAGAATATTAGAAGACAAAAACCGATTGTTTGGTCTTAACCCTTTATATGGCCGTAATGCATATCTGCAACATACCGTTTAAATTCAATTATTTTTCAACCTGCGTTACAAAACTGTCTAAAATCTTTTTGACGCAGTTCAGCAACTTTCGTTTTTTATATAACAAGTGTTGGTCACTCAGAATTCTGTCCAATACTCAAACGGGTGATTACTTTTCTCGCCAATTTGGTAATCTGAATTGGTTGTGCAGTTTCTCATCCAACATATAAAAAAAAACAAAAAAAAATGGTATAATTGATTCAATTAATGTTTAAAAACAGGTAAATATTATATTTAGTTGTATATTGTTGAGTTTTTGTGTTTCTTGCATTATAATACAAATAAATCAACAATTTCGCTTAGTTTAAAAAAATCGCTTTTTTCGCTTATTGTAAAAAAAAATTAATAAATATTAAATATTATAAATATTATATTTAGTTGTATATTGTTGAGTTTTTGCGTTTCTTGCATTATAATACAAATAAATCAACAATTTCGCTTAGTTTAAAAAAAATCGCTTTTTTCGCTTATTGTAAAAAAAATTAGGAAAAACCCACCTTAAAAAAAATAAAAAGAAGTGTATTTTTTATTTTAAAAGGGTTAATAATGGGGTTAAAGAAATAATAATGTTTACAGATTTTTAGCAAAGCCGTAAACCCATTGTGTCGCACGCTACGTGTCGCACGCTACACTTTTTCCAATGGCATTAACATAAGACAAAAATCTTTGTATTTAAACAAAACATTATATATTATATTCATAAATGTGCTTAACAATTATTTTGATTATTATTGTTTACGTGAGGGGCCGTTGTGCCGCAACTTTAAGAGCGCACCCGCGCTCAAGAGCGCACCAGCATTGAAGAGCGCACCCGCGCTGAAGAGCGCATCCGCGCTCGCCCCTCTTTGCGCTCTCGCTCCTTCGTCGGCCGTCGTCGATCGTATTTTTTCTATTACATTTGCCTTGTTTTCTTTCTAAGTTAAGTTTTTAATTCGATGTACGCAGCCAATAAAGCTGAACGCTTTTCTTTTCGAAATTACTGAAGACGCCCCCATCATATCATTTCATCCCCATTTCTGGAGTCTTTTGCGGAAGCAACGCCCCCCTACAAACAATTATATTATGTATTTATTAACAATTTTTATTTCCAACAATATATAATATATAAAGAAATGTCAATGTTTACAAATTAATTTTCCTAATTTTTTATACTTAACAATGCATTCTCCTCATATGTATGATGCAAAATAATAATTGCTTTTTATTCTCGGTATCAAGTGGGATCAATCGTAATCGAACTACCGAACTGAGCGGACGTGCTTTGTCCGAGCTCCGGGAAAACTTCACTTCGCTTATATTTTCGCCAATATAAGCGAAAAGACACTGAAATACAACTTATTAAAAGCGACAGACAAGCTTTTTTTTTATAACAGTTGTAATGTGCTAAACCAAAACTAGTGCATTGAAAAAAAAAAAAAATACGTACCACGCAATGAGCTCATTGAGCAACGACCAAAAGAACGAGCGTAGAAGTTCAGTGAACCAAAGAAACGGCTTCTACTCTTACTTTTCAACCCGCGATACCGAAGTGGAAAAATCGGCGCTTAAAAGCAACCCGGCTTTACTGACCGCTGAAACCCAAAGGGCACGGTCTTGCTCACCCGCTCTGCTCACTCCGACTCCCGCGTCATGGAGTTCGCAGTGTAAAACCCCCCCTCCAATATCGGAAACAAATTTCGCACCAACAACAAGCAGCGCTACAACTTCTGCAACAACAGCGAAAACCCCTGCAACTCAAAGTACCACGACGTCAACGACTACAGCGAGTACAAAAACAACAACCTCGAAAAGTGCCAAAGCGGCAACGGCCACACAGACTGGAATGGATCGCTACATCCAAATTAAGCGCAAGCTTAGCCCGCAGAGTAATCCGGCAGGCAACAAAACAAAAATTAACCGTGTCCTGAATAACGATAATGAACCAGACAGATCCACTACTAACAGATTTGCCCTACTGGCGGAGGCTGAGGAAAACCAACCAGCCCAAGACAACGCAAAAAAACCCAAGCCCCCTCCAATCTATATTAGGGAAAAAAGCTCGAGTGCCCTGGTCAACAAAATTGCGTCGTTGATCGGGAACGGTGAAAACTTTCATGTTGTTCCGCTTATCAAAGGGAACATCCATGAAACAAAGGTGCAAACCAAGACTGAAGAGCACTTCCGAATAGTGTCAAAATATCTGGACACTGTACAGAAAAACTATTACACGTACCAGCTGAAAAGCAGTAAGGGCCTACAAGTGGTAGTAAAGGGAATAGAACCTGATGTTACCGCCGAGGAAATAAAAACCGCCCTTAAAGAAAAGGGCTTCGCCGCCAAGAATGTTATTAACATTCTAAATAAAGATAAAAAGCCACAACCCCTCTTCAAGGTCGAGCTCGAGCCTGAAAGCAGGTCGCTGAAGAAGAACGAAGTCCACCCAATCTACAACCTGCAATATCTTTTGCATCGGAAAATCACTGTTGAAGAGCCACATAAACGTAACGGTCCAGTGCAATGCACTAATTGTCAAGAGTATGGACACACAAGGTCTTACTGCACACTTCGGGCTGTCTGTGTAGTCTGCGGGGACGCCCACAAGTCCGCTTGCTGCACTACAAACAAGGACAGTACCGTGAAGAAATGTGGAAACTGCGGAGGCAGCCATACGGCAAACTATAGAGGATGTATTGTGTATAAGGAGTTAAAGAATCGCATGCGTCAAGCGACCGCAACGCGCAACCAAAATCCACAAAATGCGTACGTTTCGTCAAAAACCACGCCAGACGTCTTCTTCGCCAAAGCTGCGAGATCCTCATTCGGTCCACTAAACACCACCAACGGCTTCTCCTATGCCGATGCTCTACGATCTGGAAGGGAAATTCCAATTCAGCCTAACTCTCAAAGCGCTCAACAGGCCCCAGAACAGCCACACAGCAAAACGGAAACTATGATGCTTACCCTCCAACAAAGTATGATGGAGCTTATGTCATTCATGAAAACGACCATGCAAACGCTTGTTCAAAACCAGAACATGGTGATACAGCTGCTCGTAGCACAACAGTCCAAATAATCTATGCAGGCGCTACGAATATCAATGTGGAACGCCAATGGTGTCTCACGGCATAAACTAGAATTGTCACAATTCTTGACCGAAAACCATATTGACGTTATGCTACTGGTGGAAACGCATCTTACAAGCAAATACAACTTTCATATAAGAGGCTACACAATCTACCGCACAGATCATCTGGATGTGAATGCCCACGGCAGAACCAGAGTTCTAATCAGAGAACGAATTAAACACCATTTTCACAAAAGGTTTGCAACAAACTTCTTGCAGGCCACATCGATACAAATTCAGTCAAGCAACGGAATCCTTTCAATTGCTGCCGTTTACTGCCCTCCTCGCTTCTCAATCTCGGAAGGACAATTTATGGACTTCTACAATTCACTTGGGGATCGATTTATAGCCGCAGGAGACTACAACGCCAAACATACGCACTGGGGATCACGTCTAGTGACTCCCAAAGGAAGACAATTGTACAATGCAATTATAAATGTGAAAAATAAACTGGACTACGTTTCCCCTGGAAGTCCCACATACTGGCCAACAGACTCACGAAAGCTCCCAGACCTTATTGATTTTGCAGTGACAAAAAACATACCTCGCAATCTAATAAGTGCCAAAGCAGTCTCGGACTTATCATCAGACCACTCGCCTGTGCTTCTAACACTTCTTCAAAGCCCAGAAATAACCGAACACCCCTTCAGTCTGACGACGACAAAAACA